ACTTCCAGCACAGTGATGTTCTGTCCCATGGTATACCCAGAACAAAAGAGTCAAAGAGTGTGGACTCAAATTCATGAAAACATGATTGAAACTAAATAATTCAGACTCCTATAACTAACTCCTGTTAGTTATAGATATTTTGGTAACATCTAAGGAAATCTAAGCAAAATGGAGTCTTTCAGTTATGGTGCCTCAACTTTTGTTTTTGTAAACATGATGTGAATGATTTAGTATATTCAAAAGGAACTCTGCTTGAAATTTGAATTTCGATCTCCAATTCTCCCACATTGGCCACTACAGGTGATATTGTACTATGTAGCTGGACAGGCCAGCCCAAGCTATGTTGAGGTGTTCCAAATCCCTTGACACAGACCACTTCCCACTAAGGGTACAATAAAATCCTAAAAATCACCAAGTATCACACTAATTTGTTTTTGTGATATTACCCTTTATGTTGTTGTGTTCTAAACATACCTACCAATCTTCTACTCCCTGTCATATGATGTAAAAGCTCTTTTTCAGGTCTTTTGCAACCTTCATGAACTCCCTTACTTCTCTTTCCAGCCTGAAGAGACGTTTGATCCCTGGACCTTTATATTCCTTCAGAACTTTTAGCGGTAAGAATGAGCACAGATCAAATAGTTGTTTTATTGAATCTGGTGATGCCAGTTGAGCACAGAATGACTACTTTGATGGGAGGTTTTACTTTGGAGATAGATGCTTCACTCCCTAAACTCATTCATCCCTGGAATACACAGTCAGCCAATGAATTAAGTTCAAGTACTGGTATTCATTTTCTTCTAAATATTATTCTCATAAATACATCATTGTAGCCATGGGCAGGAAGAGAGTGGCAATAGAAATACCACTTTAAGTATAGTCTGTCTGTACATCGAGTTTGAGATCAGTCTGGCATACCAAATAATGCCCTACCTCAAATTAAAAAAAAAAAACAATAAAGAGAATACATTCATGGTTTACCTAAGACATCATGGTAAGTCTGGGAA